ACTGTTTTGGTTGTATATGAGCGAGAACAGACCACCCTTACTATTCACTTTGTGTCTATACCTAGGTTTTAGGATTGAAATAGTCCATTACAACCAATAGCTACTTTGAAAACGTATGATGTCATTGTGAAATCCAAAATGGTCGACACAAATCTATATAAACTATCACAATGAGCATCCCAGAACGTTAATTGTGGTGTCTATACATATGTTATAGAGGTCAATCAATACTAATATTTGTGACTTTCGTTTGTTTGGTCAGGGTTATGTTACTTCCGGTTCATGGCTATACCCGTTCTACGCCGGGTCAACAGATAGTATATCCAATAAAACCATGCGCAAAGTTATAAGCCACATTATTACACGCCTTTTTTTAGCTGCAAATGTAATCATTAATTGGTATAGTTGTCTTCTTTATTTCCTGAGATTAACTTTAGAAAGCATATGATTTGATTGTGGTGATCTGCCACCCATTAACACAATGCTATAGACCTTGGACATAATACTTAACCTTAGCTTAAATTTATTTACCATGCTAGAGGCGCCTCTACTAGACGTTGCCTAATCATTTAATTGCGGCAAATGATCATTAGGCGAATTCTCAACATTTGACAATATCTAGGACATTGGATTGATTATCCAATCTTTTACGTAACTATAATACGAAATACATCTTTTCAGATAGCGGAGGTAAATACCCCCAAAGCAAGACTTCGACCTTCATGAAACAATTTTCAAGAATTGTCATTTCAGACAATCTATCGGCACTACCTGTTCAAGACTCAACACTCCTAATTTAATTTCCCCCGCCTTTCGAGGAGAGAACAAGGGACTATTAAAATTGGTCTGCCGTCACACTACTTAGGACACAATAACTCTCCTTCTAATTGAGCTAGAATGTTTAAACTTGGTGTATGTGTAACTAGTTAAATACCTTGATGGAGTTCGAAGATGAGCATGTTCCGCTCAGGGTAAGCAATTTGATTGGTCGATACTTTGGGGCTCGATAACTTTGATTACGCGAATGCCTTGGTGCAATGCGACGATATGCATTTTCTGTTTAGGGTAAGATGGTGAGCATTTTCTGCTTAGGCTAAGTAGATACTTCAATTTGATTGGCCGAGACTTGGAACACAATAACTCTCCTTTTAATTGAGGTAATGTGTTCAAACTTGGTGTAGGTGTTTATTACGTGAATGCCTTGATGCATTGCGACGATATGCATTTTCTGTTTAGGGTAAGATGGTGAGCATTTTCGGCTTAGGCTAAGTAGATAGGTCAATCTGATTGGTTGAGACTTAGGAACACAATAACTCTGCATATTTAAGTACAATGTTCAAATTTGGTGTATGTGCTTATTAGGTGAATGCCTTGACAGCGTTCAATCACATACATTTCCCACTAATTGGATTGATTGAGACTTTGGAAGACGATAACTTTGGTGTTAATTGGCAGAAAGTTATGAAACTAAGTATAAATTCATTATAACACCTAGACTAAGTTCGATGATGAGAATTTTCGACATAGGCTAAGTAGCGATACGAAATTTGATTGGCCAAGACTTTGGAATATAACAACTCTGCTTTTAATTGCGGTAGAATGTTTCAACTTGTGTAAATGTTCATTAGGTGAATGTCTTGACTGAGTTCAATGATTAAATTTTTCCCTATAGCTAAGCAGAGCTAAGAAATTCCATTGGTTGAAGCTTTGGGACAAGATTCTTACTGATGGAGAGTGATGAACTTTGAATGAGTTCGATCATAAACATTTTCTGCTTGGACTAAGATTAATTTGATAACCAGTTTTATCGCTCGGCCGTCTTCATTAGCCCAGCATAGGAGCAGAACAGTAGGACGTTAAACCCCATTTCATTTCATTTCATTTTATCGCTCGATACTTCTCGAAAAGATAAATGTGCCATCTATTTATTTTGCGATATCAGCGAAGGACATCAGCCTCACTGTTGGCTTGGTTTTTTTGTTCAAAATTTGGTCATGTGTTTAAACTTGCCCCAAATTTCACGTGTATGTAAGAAGTAGAACCCACGATGGTCACCAAATGTTGCTGACAGCTTTCGGCAAGATGACAACTGTAAATAGCATTGTTTTATTGCCCCCCCCCCTCCCCCCGAAGAAAGCAGGAGACTATTAAAACCGGTCTGTCCGTCTGTCTGCCCGCCTCTCTGTCTTATGTTCAAGCTTGGTGTAGGCGTTTATTAGACGAATGCCTTGACAGACTTGGATCATGCGCATGTTCCACTAAGGCTATGCAGAGATAAGCAATTTGATTGGTTGAGACTTTGGAACACATCAACTTTTATTAAATAAAAGAGGAACGAACAAACAATTGCATCACTGCATAAAACATGACCGTTACAAAATGTACAATTAATTGAACATTCATTGAAAGCACTGTTTTAATATCACATGGATATACAAATATACAAAGTTCTTTTATACAGAAGTCTCTGACACCCAGACGTTTATCAACTACCAGAAGTGTCCGGCTCAATCCACTGTTTAATTCATACTTTAATTAATGTTAAAGGATATTTCAAAATAAATCATGGAACCTAACCAATCGAAAAGATAACTACTTTATTGTAATCGAAACGTCTGTGCTGCTACACAGAAGGGAATATGTATAACATAATACTAAGTTGGGGTGGACGTACAGCATATAAAAGACTTTTAATTAGTTGCACTTTAGAATGATCGACAATCGCCTATATAGTTTTCACTCCTTAAACACCATTAGGAGGTGGTAAATAACAATATACAATAATGTTTCAAAAACGGTGTGCCAATTATGAATATGACCTGAAAGTGTATTAAAACGAAGGTCATTAGCCACTAGGTGTAGTATTATTCTATATACTTCGTTTTGTTTTTACAAAAACAAGCTAGTGTAAGTATGTGAGGATGATAATAATATAAGTCATGTGTTTAAAATATTTTAAAATAAAGCCTTAAAATAAATGACATCAATACAAGTCCTGTCTTGTTAAAGAATATTCCCATAAATCCTTAAATTACCTAGTCTGGGTTGAGAAATTCACAAAACATATCATGTTTTAAAGTCATTTTAGCATAGTCTACGTTTCTATGATTTTAGCCATCAAAATAAGGGATCACTATCCTTATCTGTTTAACCACAAACCCGGACAATCGACCCCCACCCCTTTCCATTATGTGGAATGTATTTAAGTGCTAGAATATAGAAATCATTATGTTTTAACTTTTCTTTTTTCTTTTAGAAAATATGACATTATTACGTGTTATCAATATGATTATGTAATTATTTTTGAAAATCTTTAGAATTGGAGGAAATAAAGATATAATGTATATTGAGCTGTAATAGTTATAATGCTCGAAATATGTTCTAAGGTGGTCATTTTATTGTCCTATACGTTATACAAGGCAAAACTCAAGTCGATATATTTCTGTTTTCATTGCGTCACAGAAGTATCTCGACAAAGTTATCACAACTTTCCAGTTTTCGTTTTGTTATCATTTTCAATGTAAGCATGTTTCTAAAACCAGAAGTTTTTTTCTATTATAACTATCCTACCGACCCTATTTTTTATTACTACATAGGCCATTTAAATCATAATTGGCCTTCTATAATTTCACGTAAACGGTTACTCGTAAAGGAATTTTCCTTCAATGTGCCTACATTTATATTTCATCTAGCACATGGCCGATCATGACTCACGCTATTTTTATTGTTAGTTTGCTTTTCACTTTGAGTGTAGTCTGTATCACTACAGGTCCGGACAATACAGCGCAGTAAACGCTTACGGCTAGCCCCACGGTTATATTCGCTTTATCTGAAGTGTACGTTTGTTGTTGTGTAGGTCCGTCTTGTATATTTGCTTGTGTGTGGTGCAGCCTCCCTGCACTTCCTGTTTAAGTTCAATATATTGACCTAATATTTCAAAAGTAGATTGTCACTTGTATCATTAGACCTGATTTTTAATGTAATGTTCGTTAAGACAGCCTTAAAAGTAACATTCTATGTCAATATCGAAGCCATTGAAATTCGTCTGTACACTGGTGATCTAAGCATCACAAAGTCATACATTATACTTTAAATATTGCCCTTCACATTATTGTGTAAATCAGGGCACCTAATATGACCCCAGTGATCTAATTGGCAGTAATTGCCCATGTTATGTGCAATTATGCGAGGGTGCTAATGGAATGGGGTTTAACGTCCCACTGTTCTGCTCATACTTGGCTAATGAAGACGAGGATATGTCATACAGTGTGCTATGAGGGAAATTTTGAACTACGACCTACTCTTTTATCGAATTCTAACTGCCAAGGGATCTTTTACGTGTACGTTAATGTGTAACACGGGCCATCGGTTTTTCGTCCCATCCGAACGACTAGAGAGTTGTCCTTGTCAGACCCTCCGTCCTGCACCACTGACAAGGGAAAACCACGTAGGAAAATCCCGATGAACTTTCTGGGTCAATGCAGGAATCGAACACGCGACCGCCAGGCTAGCGAACCAGCGCCTTACCCACTTAGCCACTGCGGTTCCAAACGTTTATAGAAGATGTTTGCTGAAATTGAACGCATAATTAAAGTCGACCCATTAATTATATAACTCATTCCAAATGGAAACATCGCTGAAAAGGTCTTCCAGTGTTAAATATATTGAGGAAATAGTATTGAATATTTTGAATATGTACGAAACCAAGAAAATGCTTAAAATGTTATAAAAATTTAAAAAAAAATATATATATAAATGAATAACATAGTGACAAAAATATACACAAAATATACATCAATCTTTTGTGGATGCATTCAGAAAATTAGTGATTTCTCAGAACATAGGTGCTATAGGACCTTAACTCTAATATATTATTAACGAAAATTACGGTTGTAATTATAACCTGTTTTCTAATTGTTCTACTCCAAATAGACTATCATACAACTATTAAGATGGTTAGGGCAGATATTAACCTCCAAGAACAAAGTATATAAATACTATTAAATATATATATTTATAATAAGAATAAGATCTGACAATCCCGTACAAAAACATCAACCATTATAAAAATCCACACGTTATATTTATCAAGGCCTCAAAAAACGATCACTCAACTTTCTTCAATTTTTCTTTTTATCTTTTACCAAAGTCTCGATGTCCTCCGGTGTCGCGATCGGACACACGACCGAGGCTTTAGTTGGTTCTTTTTGTTGGCCTTCTCTGGATCCACTTCGACCACTTAATTCACTGTGTAAACTTTCAATGTGCTTCTTCATGGCGACCAGGTTGTTCGCCATCTCAGATTGAACGACTTCCTTTGTTCGCCATTGATTTAGAATCTCGTACCGGAAACTAGAAATGTCTTGCTTTATTTCTTCGAAGTCATCTGAAAGTAGAAATGAAATTCATGTAGACCAAAGAATAAACCGATTGAGAACAGGGCCGTAACTAGCTCCCAGCAACGAGGGGCGGACGGGAAGTGTTCTCGGGAGTGCTGTAAAATTGACGGAGAATGTATATCTATTGTATTTATGGTCGACAATTTTTCACGGGGGGTGGGGGTGGGATGCTTTGCCCTCCCTGCCCCCCCCCCCCATAGTTACGGGCGTGGTTGGGAAAGGTAATATATTTTGGAACCAGGGTCCTGTTTCACCAAAAAAAAATCTATTTAAAATCTTCTTTTTATAAACTAAAATTTCACCCTAACTTAAGATAGATGATAAAATCCACTAAAATAATATTGTTTTAAGTTAAAATAACTCAAATTCTGGCGTTTCACAAAACTATTTTAGGGACAATTTATCAATTTTAACTTAAGACAGCGCGGTCAGCCTCTCCTAACTTAAAATCCTGACATTAAACAAACATTGATTAGGGCTAATGATGATATTGTCAATGACCCGGGTCACATAATTTTAACATATCATAATTCACAAAAATATTTCTCATTCAATTTATTTTCATATCACGAGAAATACAGCCACGGCCCACTCGTCTATTTTATTGTAAGGCAATTTAATCAATTAGATAACGCCCCAAATTAGAACAACAAGAACAAAAAATACTCAAAACCCCAGTAAACAAAACGTTGTTACCGTGTTATGTATTACGACATGATTTAAGTATGAAATATACTATTTTCAAATAATTAACAGACCAAAAAAAATAAATAAATAAATAAATAAAATAAAATAGAAGAAAATCTGAACTCGTGAAGGCCTACAATGGTGCAAAGTATTTACTCACATAGTTTGGGGTTATAATGATTTGTAAAAAGATAAATCAATAATAATAATGTGATTATTGAAAAGTGTTATAGGCCTTTTTGAAGTTAAATTTTAATTTCATAAATGTATTATTATTTCAGTTCCGAAGCGTATTTGCTTTCACCATGGACCTTATAATACATGTATATAAGGTCCATGCTTTCAGCTGAAGTGCCCGCATTGGAAATGTGCACTGCGCAAGCGCAAGTAATTTTAGCTAAAATCTATTAAAATTGCATTTTAAGTTACGATCGACCTTCGTGAAACACATAAAATTTAAAATTTCATTTTGATTTTAGTTAAAATCTGTATTAGTGATTTTGGCTTAAATTTTCTGAAACAAGGCCCAGAAACGGCAGCGCCAAATGCTACTCATCATTTTCTTTTTCCGGTTCTTCTAGGCGGCAATGTTTTCCGAAAAACGCGAGAGGCTCCGCCAATTTAATTACGACCGATATAAAACTTTGCATGCTTGTTACACACTTTGTTTTTGGATATGGCGTCACAATTCTAAGATGGCGGCGATGACATCATGCTCAGATGTTGGTCCATTGGGTACTTTCTATGAATATGGTACTATTCTACTTTTCAGAATCAGCGAGTCGTCAAATGCTTCAGATATACGATGATTTCAGGAATCATAGTCACTGAGAATAGATGTTTCTATATAATTAGATTTACCTTCGGTCACTTCCGCTTCTCTCTGAATGTCGAATATATATCTTTGGATAATTCTTTGCATAACTTTCTGAAATCGTAATATAAACAATTATTTTAGATAAAAAAAAAGTCAGAAAAGTCAATAGATGGTTACCAAAGAAGCATATTACTGAGAAATTACTGATTATTTTTACTCGGTAACGAACTTTATTTTTATTTAAAGTAATGACTTATATTCGCGCATAGCAAACAGAACATATAGTAAAAGCCAGCTGGTCAATAATTGAGCAGTATTAAATTTTGAGTGTTAATTCTATATATTTTCTATATATTTTAAATAAATCTTCATCGACATTGTTTCAACGCGAACAAAAAGGTTTCCACCGCGGGAAAAAAGGTTTCTACCGCGGAAAAAAAGGTTTCTACTGCGGAAAAAAAGGTTTCTACCGCGGAAAAAAGGTTTCTACCGCGGGAGAAAGAGTTTCCATCGCGGAAAAAAGGGTTTACACCGCGGAAAAAAAGGGGTTTTACTGCGGCGAAAACGTTTTTCATGGTATTTTGATATGCTTTTGTTTCATTGCGAAATATTCGTTCATTGTATTGAAGAGTGAATCTTTCTCATGTAAAATACTAGACAACGTTAGAAATTAACGAGTGGAACCAATAAGCCACCGTATCAGGTCGACAGAGACCACACAAGAGTTTACTCATCGAAGAAAAAATGTTTGAATCTGTCTGGCCAATGACGCCTCTTACACCCGCATTTTATTTTAATTTGAGAATTTCCAGATTTTGCCAGGACGAAATTTGGTACATGGTTATATATTTACCGTGTAAGTTATTTTTTCATCGAGCTCTGGCTCCTCGTTAATTGAAGATGACATCGGCAATTTTCGTTCGGTCGATTGTGACCCGTTTGTTTCTGTCATCTCAACAGCAACGCTGTCGTATGCTAGATTTGCTGCCTGCAAGAAGAAAAATAACGCATTTATTAATTAATTCGTCGGATAAAATCACCTTCGTAAACCGCTTGCTATTCAATACATATAGCCCTGGAACATTTTCCACACTTTCTGTTGACCGTCTGGATGTATTAGTCTTCGATTAGACATAAGTAGTAATGACTATACACTTTCTGTTGACCGTTTGGATGTATTAGTCTTCGATTAGACATAAGTAGTAATGACTATACCATCCGGCAGATTTGTTTGCTTCTATTGTCTTCTATTGCTATGCATTATGCAATTATGGAAATATGAATGTTTGGAGTCCAGCTGTGTAAACTTGAGTTGACCTTAGTTTAAGGAGTGGTCAGCGTGTACTGGGTTATCCTTTCTTAGTCGGTTTGTCACAATAGGGATTTTGGTGTGTTTGGCTAACGCTTTATAGCATTTGGGTCGCCATTTGAGTATCCAGTTGTATAGTTTAACAGAAATCACGCTCTAACTATATCCCCAAAATACAAGACTTACCCCGGTGGTTCCCGTCGACTCTTCAACCAGACGATTTTTACCCGGCTTAGCCGTGACTACATCGTCATCTGAATTATGGCAACAAGAACAAAATAAAGTTTTAACTATCTCCTTAGGGGCTAAAATTACATTAAAAGGCACTGGTAACACAGCCGAATCACCGATATATTCCATATATAACATACTCCTAGAAAACTTCCATTCTGCATCAGAGTCTTCCTGAAATTGATTTAAATTTGTTTAAGATTTTAATCTATATGAGAGAGAGAGAGAGAGAGAGAGAGAGAGAGAGGCGACTTTAACAGCCACGCGACACAAACTAGGAATTTTTTGGACTGACATATGGTTCAAGTTAAATTGGGTAGAGTCTTTAGCAGTGGGAGCAAACCGGAGAAAACCAGCGAGGTTTGACAGGCGACTCTACCCCTTCTATAGAGAAAAAATGACATTGTTTGCAAATATATATCTATATATCATTCAAAAAATGCACGTGTCGCGGTGGGTAACGCGCTAGCTCAATCAATAACCAGGGGTGTCAGGAGTTGATTTAGGTGTTAGCCGAGAAAGTTCCTCGAGATCTTCCAGCTTGGTTGTCCCTTGTCAGCGGTACAGAGAGGAGGACATGACGATTAAACGCGTCTTTTCGTTCGGATTCGTGTGTCCGTAAAAGTACCATGGACAGTATAAAATCGATAAAGGATTTTATTATGCATCTTCATTAACCCCGTTGGAGCAGAAAGATGGCCCACAATCTACGAGACTTTACAATTAACCAGTTCACTCGATCGTCAGCGGGATGACAGAAGATGACCATAGCAAGCATAACTCTTACGTCTATATAAAATATATTAGGAAATGAAATGTAATGGGGTTTATAAATGTCCAACTTTTCTGCATCGACTGGGCTAATGCAGACTGACATACCCTATATAGTGTGCTATGTGACACATTTTGCACGGACAGCGTTACTACGACCTTCGTTTACGTGCAAACCAATCCGTACACGAGACCCCGGATATTCGCCCTCTGTCCTGCACCACTGACAAGGGGATGCTGCACCGGAAAATTCCGAGGAACATTCTCAGCCAATACTGGTTGGTTAGCGAGCCAGCGTTATACTCACTTAGCCACTGCGACTCCAAAATATACTCTTCAAAAAATGTAGGGGATATTGAAATGCAAATACCTATGCAGGTTGTGATATGATAAATAGTCATGAACACCTGACATGCTTTGAGAGTATGTTCACAAATGAAGAACTTATCGCCTCAACAGAACCACCGAGCTGCACATACGACACGCAATAGCGCCATGCACGTGGGAGGGGTTCATTGTCAAATTTGACACTTCAAAGAAGGGTTCATGAAAACTGCCGCGTGCTGGTTTATCTATCCATGTTTGTTTTCCTATCGGTTCTTGCATAAGATTTACTGTTTAGCGTATCTTTGCTTTAGTGTGTTACGTTTAATTTGATCGGGAGGGGTGTTCGCCGACGTCAACGTCAACCGACAACAATGCAAGAATTGGCCGTGTCACTGCAAGAGGAGTGGGTCAGACTGCCACAAATCGTGATTGGACGGTTGATTAGGAGCATGCCATGACGCATTGCTGAATGTCTGAGGATTGGTGGAGCAATTACTCATTATTAAGACGAATATCAAAAACTTCCATTTTCACTTTTGACGGTGTAACTCTTTGCGATTGAAATGGGGCCGTCAGATAAGCCGCCTATATGAACTGTTTATGTTCATGTGTACGCAATTGGCCTGTTATTAACATAAACTGGTTACCTCTAATAAAAACAGCAGTGCATTTCCGCAGTTTTGTATTGTTTCTGAATATCCCCTACTTTTTTTTGGAAGAGTATATATTAAGAGTATTTCACTTACTGCTATTGTTTGAAATGATCTGGTCATCATGGCGATCAACATATTCAGTAGAACTGTCACCGATGTTGCGTTATAGGCCCCATATATAATATAACCAATGTCTTCTGTCACATTATTATTATATTCACCTAATCGAACAGCATCTGGTTCACCTCGTCCAAATAAAGACCAAAATACTGTTCTAAATGTCGCCATAACACTGTAAAATAAAACGCGTTTATAAATAAACTAAAACCCTTGCAATGCCAACATAATATGTAAATGCAAGGTTTTGTTAAATAGCTGCTCGTTTTTTTCTATAACAGTTCAAATAATGGAAAATGAATATATTGAAATTTTCAGTCACGCCACTTTATTCTGAGCGATGTTGTGTGTGTTACACGATTAGTTCTTGATGACAACACTGATTTAACTTTATAGTACTTGTATTCTTCCACACATATCATGTACAAAACTCCTTAATCAAGGGCTCCTTAGTTTGCTTGTGTTGAGGGAGCCTGTTGTTAGCTCGGCTCTCCATTCGTGACAGGGTCCCAAGTACCTGCATTTAACCCATTGGGCCTGGCCAGATGTCCAAACCCAAACGTCAGCCCCACGCCCACACACTGTGGCCTGATTGGATAGTCGTCAGTCGAAGATGGACTGTGCTCTGATTGTGTAGAGAGCGTTAGCCACCGCGTTACCTAACCATAGAAACATCTAATTGAAACACCTAGTTTAGAAACATCGGGCAGATAGTAGTTATAGCTAAGCTAAGATACCCTTGATGTTGCGCGTATCAGTGATTAACTTGTTTTATGAATTGTTGTTAACTTGTTTCATAAGAATCTGGTCGCATACATTTATTACTTACAGGCTATGCATGTGGCGAGTAGTACATGTAGTACCTACACCGAGAGAGAGAGAGAGAGAGAGAGAGAGAGGGGGGAGAGAGGGGGGTAGAGAGGTCTTTTCGGGACTACCATATGGTCCACTCTGTTTTCAATAATGATCTTGCGCATAGGGGTCATTAGCAGTGGGAAGAAACTGGAGGACCCGGTGACTTGGACAGGCGACCCTACTCCTTGTCATGTATCAACGGGGAATCGATACCACGCCACTTGACTGAACGACAGGCCTTGTTATCTAAAGCGCACGCGTTAAATCATTCGGCCAACCAATCCCCTAGAATAAACAAGGTACATAACCTAGCTAAAGTAAATCCAGGAATCTTAAAGTTTATTCATATAAGTACGTTAGAGCTGGCCATATCTATTCCCCAGAGAAAATAACACCTTTACCATATAAATTATTATCAATCTAATGTTATAATTATTATGATTTTGATATAATGCCTTCCCATATTTTTCCCTAAAGAATATCCAAACCAATGTAAATGGGGAGGAAACAAATTCCGACGCAATTAAATTTAGTATTGCTCAATATGTATAATACAAAGTTCATATGTTTCATGGTGAAAATTCTTAACATTTTTGTTGTCGATAAAGTTTTCTGTCGGCACTGGAAGTGACGTAATTTTGTTAAAATTTACAGTTTTCGCAAATCTGATAGATCAAGAAAAATGACCCTAGTACAGGCGCAAAAATGTCTAACTCATTTTTTTAAATTTTGGTTTTGCGTTTGCGCCATTTCGATTTAAAGGTGAAAAAGAGTGTAAACTTAAGCAATTTACAACCCATTTAGGCTTTTCATATTTTAAAATATTTATAATTAATGTTCATATACGAAGACAATCTATGCCGAAATTAGTTTGTAATATCAGCAGTTGCCGAGAAATAGTCAATTTTGCACGAGTCAATTTTCACGTTATTTTGCCTGTAAAAGAGTCACCTATAAATGGATTCCCATAAAAGTGATACCATTTGATAAAGCAAAAGTACGTTACATCAAATTGATTAAAATTTATAATTGACATCGGAAGTGACACCATTTTTTTCAAAAATTAAATTTTAACCTTTAAAATCATTATTTTTTTTAATTAATAATTTTTGTTACGTATTGAAAATGTTAACTTTTAGTTTAAATCAACATATATAATAAAAGGATGCATATAGATATCACAAAATGGTTTCTAGCTTGTTCCGTTGCTGAGAAATATATGATTTTCTACAAGTCGATTTTAAAGGTTTTGGGTCCATAAAAGTGACAATTTTTATTCGATTTTCATACAATTTCACCATGTGATGCCTAATGCCATTTACGATTTTATTACACAAATTCAAGATGTTAATTATCACCGGAAGTAATTTCATTTTGTCAAAAACTGTATTTTTAGCCTTAAAAACAAATATTTGTTTGAACTAACATATTCATTATTCGTATAAAATTATGATATTTGATTCCCGCGCGGACAATGTAATGAATCAATGGGACCATATTGATATTTCAAAAGTCTTTCTAACATCTTCCCTTGCCGAGAAATAACCATTTTTTTCAGGATCACTTTTAAGATTTTTCGCTTTAAAGTAAGGTTTTATAAAGGGTTAATTCTGTTAAAATTTTAATCAATTTTTCTGTCTTCCAAATTGGTTATTTCTCTAATGCAATTTAAGTACTTTAATTGTTGATAGCAGAAATGATTTCATCTTGTCGAGTCTTCGTTTGCTGCTGTTTATTTCAAGACATATGTAACAAATGTATAAATGGAACTATTATTGCTGGATTTATTGGCTAATTTTGCGAAAATATTTATAACGTAAAAAGATGTGTAATGCTCAAGTTGTAATCTGTTTAACCGTTGGTACGGGAAGTGACGCCAGTTCAATGGTAACGCGGCACCCGTGAAACCCCTCATCACTGCATCGCCGTTCTAGTACCTCATTAACTTTACATACATGAATAATAAATTTTTACAGTTTGAATGGAAACATCCGTCAGCCAAACACCCTGGACAAAAATTGCATGTACATTGTACATTCAAATGTACAAAAACGACTTCCATTGTTAAGTTAAAGGAAAAGTGTCAGTTTTCAGTTCACATGATGCCTAAAAACATTTGCGTTTAAGTATTTAATCAAACAGTAAAAATGGTGATAAATAGTATGGTAACCTAGACTGGAACGTTTAGCTCAAAATTATGTGCGGTTTGGAAATTATGGTTAACTCAATTTATTACACTGTGTGATCTGACACACGGAATTATTAGTTGCTGTCTCTAAACGTAGGTAAGTGGTAATTACAAAATATTATATTATAGACGAGTATATCAAGACATAAGTTATTACTGGTCAATAGGTAACTCCACCTGGCAACTTAAAAGTTGGTGTTGACGTTTCACATAATTAGTTACATCGTGTTTTATATAATTAATTAGATATCTAGTCGTGTTTCATATAATTAGTTAGATATCTGGTGTTTTGTTATATAATTAGTTAGATATCTACTCGTGGTTCATATAACTAGTTAGATATCTTGTCGCTTTTTATATAAATAGTTAGATATCTAGTCATGTTTCATATATTTAGTTAGATATCAAGTCGCGTTTTATAGTTAGATATCTAATCGTTGTTCATATAATTCGTTAGATATCTAGTTGTTAGTTAGACATCTAGTCGTGTTCTATATAACTAGTTAGCTATCTAGTCGTGTTCTATATAACTAGTTAGCTATCTAGTCGTGTTTTATGTAATTAGTGAGATATCTAGTAGCGTTTTATATCTAGTCGCGTTTTATAAATTAAGTTAGATATATTTAGTCGCGTTTCATAAAATTAGTTAGATGTCTAATAGTTGGATATCTAGTCGTGGAGTAATATAATTAGTTTTATATCTGTGCGTGTGGTATATAATTAGATATGTATTCGTATTTTAGATAATTATTTGGATATCTGGTTGTGTTTAAGATAAAAAAGTTAGATATCTAATCGTGTGTGTTATATAATTAGTTAGATATCTGGTAATGTATTAATAATATACCGGCTATGGCTGGAAGTGAATATAGAAATGGGTTAGGGTGGGGTGGGGGGCTTCGGCAATAATTTGCAAATATGTTGAAAGATAGCCACGCAAAGCATGGAAATACAACACCACAGCAGTAATGTCTCGAAAAAACGAGATAAAACTTGGATGTTTACTAAACCTGCTTTTGGTATCCGATCTGATTGGCCTTTCGGTACTTCGACAAAGGGAGGTAACCACAATCGACCTTAAACAAGGTTTAGTGCAGCAACAATGAAGACTTAACAAACTACTTACTCTCCAAAACTTTGTTTGGCATTAATTGTCATATTCCTATTTTCAATCTCCAGATTTTCGTGATTACTGTAGTACCAAAATAGGTTGTGTAGACCAATCATAAAAGCAACCATTACGAATACGAAAAGAGTGATGAATTTAGCAATGTCCTGAAAATTTAAAAAAAAAATAAATTAAAAAAAAAAACCACATAAAGTGGTTTACAGCAACTTAGACAATCAATTAGTTTATTGCCGACAGGTCATATTGAACCACTCGACACCAACTCAAACTAGGTCATTTCGGTACAAACACATGGTTCAATTTTATTTCAATAATTCGCTTGCGCGTGGGGGGGGGCTTTAGCAGTGGTGGGGGGAAACCGGAGGACCCGGAGAAAACCCACGAGGTTCACTCAGTGACAGACCTTATGATACACGCACACGCGCTAACCATTCGGCCATCTACCCCCCGTGGCTTGAAAAGAACGAATGTCTATAGTTTAGCAACCACAAAAAAGATCAATGAATCATATTTTAACGGTAGATTCTAATACTCATAGGGACAATCTGATATTAAGATGGTGGAAAGTACGTGCAGAAATAAACTTGGGTATTAGAGACAAGAAAGGACAAAGCAAAAAAATGGAAAGTAAACACGTTTAGTATTATATGCAGGGTTGTCCATTTTCAAAAAGTATGGCTTATTATTTTATAAAAAAAATTATTATTACAATGTATGTGTACTGCTGAGGTAATATGCGATAATGACGAATGTCGTATGTATGTATTTGTGTCGAAATTAAAGGTGGATGTGCTCTCTTTGCATGGACATCATAGCTCGACGGAATATTCAATGCGTCATATCGTTGAACAGAAATTTGAACCATTTTTGGACTGATAATACTATTAGGAGATTCAACTTTCAGATATCTCTTAAATCACGCATAGCGTCTTTAAACGAATGTATCAAATCTTACATTTAACATTCGTCCAAGTGATATCTGTAGAGGTCCAAGACTTTCGTTAGCTGGTAAAAGGTAACTAATTCTGGCAAAGCTTAAGATGTTAGCAATAGCAAACAGACCCTCCGATAGGTTGATTGGATCAAATGCATCCCAGTAAAATCGATCTGGAAAACAAAATCAATATGTAATTTCATTTAGGTATTATAAACCAAGTCATTCTAAGATTTATTTACTATCCACTTCACTCGGACTTCATTTGAGATCAAACTACTAAATTAATTACTTCTGATTTAAACACGGATGTTATTTCTTTTCGCAATGTGACAGTTCAAATTTCATTCAATGCAGACAAGGATATCGTAAATAAATATTATAAATACAGGAAAATCAAATACAAATCTAAATCTGCATTTCCACTATTAAAGATACTTTATGGGAGATTAGATAAAGAGCTGGCAATTCTCAATATCATAGTTAAAAACTGGATAATGTAAAGGGAATTAGCAGAAAATTTCAGTCAAAATGATCCCCTTTGAACCGAGAATTTAGCGATTGAATTTTGGACCTAGAATAGGTCGTCATTACTAAAGTCGATACGATCAAAAACATAGTCTTGATTATCCATTTTTTGATTTAATCATCATTGAGCGTTGAGCAGTGTATGGGTTTCTAATCCAGTAAATATCGCAGGCTAGCGATGATATCGAAAGTTGATTATGGTCTGGATAAGTTAAGTAACGTCTAACTCATAATTTAGATAACATTGCAGCCTTAAAGAAAGACCTGCAATTGACAGATTTAGCTCTTGCATATTGTACGTTTAAGTGTTTGTTTTCGTTCAAAAAATGGAGTCGTATTTGGTCACAGGCGCCTGTAACGTGGACACTATATTTAAAAAATAACATCATGCTATGTCTTTCTAAAGTCTGTTGCGTCCATGTTCGTAATTCTCTTTTGCCTTAATTAAAAACCCCCGATTGTATCCATGAACCCATTCTCCGAAACTATAAGCATACATGTATAACCATTTCTCTAGGATTGAGACCGCTGTGCAATATATATACAAAACACATACATTGACGTATAATTTTGCACTGCGGTCTCAATCCTAGAGAAATGGTTATACATGTATGCTTATAGTTTCGGAGAATGGGTTCAATTAAAATCGCTAGAGAAATAAACTAGAAATAGCCTCCGCTCAAATTCCTGATCGTTTAGTAAAATGTGTGTGGGCGGAACAATTTCAACCGTGCATCATTACGAAGAGAATTCATAAGTATCAAAAGTTTACGGGCAACTTATTTAATAATAAAGATCCTTGTTGAAATCGTTTGAATAAACAATCTACGCCTTATATACATACTTCTAGACCAGCAAGCAGCTATTCAAATTCGAATGAAACGTGTTCTTCCTAATACATGTATATGGATGCGAAATACAAAACGACTGCTATACGTAGAGGCAAATAAGGAAGGGAGCTATCTCAATTTGCTTACAAACTAGACAAGAAGAACTTTTTTTTCTTAGAAAAAATTGTCAATTTCCATATCAGTACGCAATAAGACAACCAAAGAAAAGGACTGGCTCAACCAGACAAGTAGCACATTGTTTGCTACAATCCCCTCTAGGTTTCGTAACACGATACAGAGGGCGCCATATTAAACTATGAATATATATTCACATCATGGCCATTATTTCCTTTAAATTCGTCGAGAATACATGCGAGGCACGAATAACGCCTTTGCTATATATAATGGTCTTTTTTTTATAAAAAAATCAACTCATTGTTACTGAATTTGCAAAGATTTTAAAAATAAACTGTATCTGTAATTATTGTCTCTTCTTTCCATCTCAAGGGTGTTATATACGTTTTAATATCCCTTGGTTTTCAGGCTAGTTATTTGTTTTGTGTCAAAACGAGGTGCTAATCAAGATAACTTATCACCAACTTCCCAGTAGAACAATACCAGAAATGACTCTAAAAAATATCGCGATCAATTAAATATTATCCCAGTTCCGTGTGTGTGTGTGTGTGTGTGGGTGTGTGTGTGTGCGTGGGGGGGGGGGGGTAAATGAAACACAATATAAGTTCATGATCATAAAGTCTGAGGGAGGAATCCTAGTTTAAAAATACAAAAGGAGATAAGGTAAAACAAAAATATAATCTTTGTACAAGGATAAAGATATCCAGTAGACTGACAGAAATGAAATGCGGTTTAACGTCATAGTTTTGTGCTTAATCCAAACTAATGAAGATGGGGTTGACTGAAAGACGTTTAATAATCACATTGAAAGCCTTTTAATAAGCCTAATATAGAAAGTATGTATAGTGGAATTGTTTTCTGATGAGAAACCGATTTAGACCATGAACCATTGAACGATACTGGTGTAAATCTTATCCTGTGGCATTAAATATTCTTTTGTCAAAATGGCCCAAACTATCCTCTGCCACGGTAATCGAGTGATCGTGGAAGTATGAGTAGAAAGTCCCGAAAGAAGAACCGTCAAGGTTTCCAAACTTGCGGAAACGTATTTGGTATGAAAACATCTTCATAACCCGGTGAAATCAGATATATGCCAATGTTTTAATAAATGAAATCAAATATATAGCATACAATAATACAAAGGATCTGAAGAATCTTACCGGCATTTAACCAATAAATTGTATAAAAAGCTTTGTCAGGATCAAGGGAGGTTGATTGTTCTATTTCACGTTGAGCGCTCCAAAACTATAAATACAAAATAAATACAAAAATAAAAGAGAAAAAAAAACCCTCAGAAGTAACTAGAATGTCCATTGTTCTAATTTGGATTTTTCAGCCGCAACGAGATGAAAAACCGAGATCTCCTGTATGAATGGAAGTTGCATATGAAATGAAATGAAATGGGGTTTAACGTCCTACTGTTATGCTCCTATACTGGGCTAATGAAGACGGGCATACGCCATAAAGAGTGCTATGAGGGAAATTTTGCCCGGGCAGCAGCACTATCGCCTACTCTTATATCGAATTCCACCCAGGGGATCTTTTACGTGTAATATATACACGGGACCTCGGTTTTTCGTCTCATCCGAAGGACTAGACAGCTGTCCTTGTCAGGCCCACCGTTCTGCACCACTGACAAGGCGAAACCACGTCGGAAAATAGAAATGCATATAAATATCCTAGTTTCAATTCTAAAAAGTGCAGGTGGTCGGAAGGTAGGTGTTTTATTTTAATCTCAAGCGTGATTGTATTTAAGGTGAGATGGCCTAGTGGTCTATGTGGCGTTCACATAGGGGTGCCTTCTCAACCTCGTGGGTTTATTCAGAGTACTCCGATTTCCTTCCACATGAAAAACCCCTGCGCGTGCGCTAAGATTATAAAATATTAAATAAGACAACCTGTCTGTGATATCACCTTCGATTGAAGCGGGTGTTAAACACTAAGAACAACTTGTTTTAAACATACCCCTCTATCCCGGCACTTTCAAGGACTATATAAAGGGAGGTAATCGCTATTTCAGCTAATAGAGAAATTGTGCCCTGGCTGCGACGCTACTATCCGCTCTTATATCGAATTCCAGCTGCCAAGGGATATTTTACGTGCACGTCTATGTGTAATCGGGTCCTTGATTTTTCGTACCATCCGAACGACTTCCCAACTGTACTTGTCAGGCCCTCCGTCCTGCACCACTGATAGGCAATCGGGACTATTAAAAAGTTTCAGGTACGAGCGAACATATGCTCAGTTTGTATTTAAAGCTCCACGGGATGTGATGAGGTCGGAAGAATTATGTAATTTGTTATTAACTTACCTTATACATAGACAAGAATCGAAGTGTAAAAGTTGCTGTATAAGCTGAGATTAGACCAAAATCCATTATATTATAATATGATGTTATATAGTCCAATAGACCGTTCTGATAAATCTGACTACATTCTTGAAACATAAATCCTGAAAATAAAAACCCTTTATTGAAATTTTGTTAATTAATTCCTCCTCAACGCAGCATGGGAGAATTTTGAGACGAATATCGGATATATAGCTTCGTGTGCAAGGTGGGAGAAGATGTGGTGCCAAGACATACCCGACCTTCAGCGGATACTTGTCTTATGTGGGAACGTGTGACCTTGCTGGTCGTGCAGTTTGAATGGCTAAGTAATGCCATTGTAATTTTACAGTCTCGTATTCCTAATAGATTTTGCCTTGACCGCGGCGATTTTTCCTCTATGCGAGACTGGGATAAAATATGACAGTGTTGTTTCCCAAAGGCTACCAAACTCTAAACAATATATAGTGTAATAAAATAGGTAGCTTTAATATCATACATTACCATTGTCTGTTATATCCGATGAAATACTATACAGCAATTCATCGAACGAAAGATAAAACTAGTTCTTTGACACCTTAACATGGAAATTAACTAGGAAATTACTATTAGCTTGTTTCGGACTGAATATTCCAACATACTGGAATTTAAATGGTCAATTCTGTGGGGGTGGCGCGCTTGGAAACAGCCTATGGCTCCGCCAATGCAAGTACTATCAATATGATACTTGACATGCTTGTTCCATGAACAATATTGCGCATCGATTGACGGACTTCGCGAGGTTTGATATAACGTCAGAATTCCAAAATTCTATGAAAGCATACATACACATGCATCGTTCATAGTTGACTCAGAGCAAACCAATACTCATAACATATTACTAACCTAGGACCCACAAACTCATCAGTATTGTTGGTACTGAAGGCAGCTCTGTTCTCAAAGGAAAATCATCTCCAAAAGGCCTGGAACCGGTAGCGTTGATAACCATTTCATATTTAACATGATCCGATGGAAATGTTGACTTGTAAGTTCTATATTTAGATACTCCCTGTGACGACTCGAAAGCCGAGGATATAATTAACATTAAAAATAGGAAAAACGACAAAGACTGGCCAACAAATTTGACGAATGGATACTTCAACACTTTAACAAACTGAAATGAAAGTAGGTTATTGAATCAAATAACATAGAATAGTAAAAATATAACACTTTTTTATTTACCCTACTGTTAATAAGCATCCACTTTTTTGGAAGAATTAAAGTCTATATAAGCGACATTTGATGGACTCGTAAATATATATATATATACATGTAGGAAGCCAATGTAACTCAATTAAAATAGCAGATATGTTCTCTCATCTGCTGATAAGCATTGCTGCACTAGTTTGTACCATTTGTAGTTTATTAATTAAAACATCTGGAATTCCTGCTAAAAGGGAATTGCAATTATCTAATCTTGATGTCACTAGGACGTTTACAACAGTTTTAAAGGCATCGATAGTGAGAGTTGACCTAATTTACTAATGTTTCTTAGATGGTAATGTCAGAGTTTACAGATATTGTTAATTTGAGCCTTAATGGACATATAATCGTCAAAAAGTACACCAATATTGCGGGCGGATTCAACAGGACAGAGAGTATAGGAGCCAATTTGTATCAGCCCCTGCTTCTGCTTTTCGTAAAGAGATACTCAGTGTTATCATCGTTGTGTTTCAAGGAGTTAGTACGCATCCAACATTTAATTTCACTGATACACTGTTCAAGTTTTGCCTTTGAAGAATTAAATGCTATGTAGAGTTGCGCATCGTCAGCCTATAGATGCAACTCAACGCGGTGCCTTTGCACAATATATAAGTGAGCTGAGTCGTGTACACAGTGAAGAGGATTGGACATCGATTAGTACTGACTGACATCTGCCAGATAGATACGAACAGAGAATTCAGATTTAAGACATGACAGTAAGGTTTCATGGTCCACCGTGTCAAAATCTGCGGACCAATTGTACACATTTAATAATATCAATGTCAAGATGGCGTTGCGAACTTTCAATAACGCGGTTTCAGTGAAATGGAATTTTCTATAGGCACTTTGAAATCTGACAAGTAAATTATTTTCACTAAGATGGTGTTTAAATATTCCAGATTTAAGCGATGCGGTAAAATCGAGCGAACGGGAACTGGATTAGAATGTAGGATGTTTCGGTCAGTGGACATTTCAACCTAGGACGTTTCGGACAATTTCAGAAAAATGTGATTAAAGCATTTAAAAGGAACACCGCGTTCAGAAACTTGCAGATTGCGATGTTTGGTGCATGGACGATAACTCCGCAATGGCACTCAGTATTTTTATGCAGTTTTATGTGATCTAGGATCGTGTATCAGGAGTTTTTATTCCATTAGTGTACGAACTTTTACAAAGAAAGTCTCAAACAACTTATGAATTAATATTTCGTTTGTTAGAGAAACGGGGGGGGGGGGGGGTAGATGGCTGAATGGTTAGCGTGCGCGCGTTGTATCATAAAGTCTGTCATTGAGTCAACTGGCGTGGTTTCGAATCCCCGGTTGTACGTGGCATGGAGTAGGGCCGCCTGTCCAACCTCGTGGGTTTTCTCCGGGTCCTCCGGTTTCCTCCCACTGCTAAAGACCTCTACGCGCAAGCGAATTATTGAAATAAAATTAAACCATATGTTAGTCCATATGTTAGTCCCGAAATGACCTAGTTTGTGTCGAGTGGACGTTAAACCCCATTTCTCTCTCTCTCTGTTAGAGAAACGTGGCTGTGGCCCGTCAACTGTTATAATAGACTTTGAACGCTCTGTAGATCTTGCTGTTCTTGCATTGTATTGACAACAAGTAAAGTCCTAGGCCGAAATGCTCACTGGCCGAAACGTCCGACCATCGTTGATTTATGGACCTGATTATCTTCAAAACACGCTAACACCACCTTTAAGTTTCGCTTAATCATATAATTGGGCTCTTTCTAACCTGACTGAATCTAAGCCTGGGGGTTATCGACTGATGATGTTTTGGTTTCGTTTTCTTAAACATACATTATGCAAAAGCTAAATCTGCCTATTGTAGGTCTTTCTTTAGACATTAATTAACTTATCCAGACCATAATCAACTCTCGATGTCATCGCTAGCCTGCGATGTTTATTGGATTAGGTTCCGGTTCCTGTTCGACTTCCATTCATAATTTAATCATGAAATGGATAACCGAGACTATGCTTTTATCGTATCGACTTTACATTGTCTGGCTTTTAACTATTATAGTGAGAACTGCTAGCTCTTTATCTAATCTCCCATAATGTATCTTTACTTAAAGGTTAGATAATTAATTTGAATACATTTAAGCCTGGATTAGGCCATGAAAAAAACCCTCCGTTTTCAAAAACATTTTTTATATGAATAATGTAGATAAGCATTACATCTCCATGTAACTGTCAGCAACTTGTCGGCAAGGACATGGAAAAGGACATTCGGTCCCAGAGTCTGAAATCTTCTGAAAAGCCGGAGTATCAAATTACGGACTGATTTTAATGAAACTTGTTATAAAGACTTAGGATAGTTATGAATTAGACGAATGTTTTTAAACAAAGAAATACACATCAGACGTTATAAATTTTCTTACCTTGCAATTTGGTGCAATTAAATAAGTTATGATTAAAAACGGGTAACACAGAATCAATAAAAAGACGAATAATATTCGTTGAGGCCATCCATTTCTCTCCCATCGTCCCATACCAGTATACCATAGTTTAACCAATCTCTGTTGACAACTAGGGTGGGATACAAACTAGAAATAAAATTGAAAACATAGAATACAAATTTGAATATAATTAGCTATATGGGAGACGCGGTGGCGCAGTCAGTAAGACGTTGGCTTGCTAACCTGGAGGCCACGTGTTCTAAACCGGTGTTGGCCGAGAAAATTTATCTGAATTTTCCGGCGTGGCTCCCCATTGTCAAGGATGCAGGACAGAGGGTCTGGCAAAGGTAACGTATAGTCGTTCGGATGGGACCAAAACACGTGTACACATTGAAGCGAATGTAAAATAACCCTGGGAATTCGATAAAAGAGTAGGTCATTGAGCCGCTGTTCGGGCAAAATTTCCACTCTGTAGGACGCTAAACCCCATTTCATTTTAGTTAGCTTATTACATGAGGATCGATTATCATATAATTATCCGATCAATGGCGGACGCGGGATATTTGGTTAGGGTAAACCCGGGTGTTCTTTCCGAAAAATTTTGATAATCAGAATATGATGATTTGGTCATGGTATTTAACCGTACAAAACTATAATTAAATTTTTAATTTTTAAAATTCGAATTCGACTGGACATCAGCAATCAATATTATTGGCGTATTTTGCTTAATCACTTGAACCCTAGTTTAATAAAGATATATCTTTATTTTGTTTTGCGCTGGATCAGGCGAGGTCTAGTGGTTTTACGCATGCGCGTAAATCACAAGATCTGTCAGTGAATCAAGTGACGTGGTTTCGATTTCCCGCTTGTATATAACAACAAGGAGTAGGGTCGCCTGTCCAACCTCGTGGGTTTTCTCCGGGTGCTCCGGGTGCTCCGAATTATAAAAATAAAATTGAACCATGTGTTCGTCCGGAAATGACCTAGTTTGTGTCTTGCGGATGCGCGCGCTGCATACCATCAAGGGAGCTCGGGTTCGATTCTAGTGTGTGTTGGGAACGTTCCACGTGATTTTCAAGTGTGTGCTCCACTTGTTCGAATGGTATTTAAAACAGAGATCCCGCATAAACTTCGGCATGTACGTCAAACATCCCCTGACAGATGGAATCTGATGAGCAGTTCTCGGGGAAATCGTTTTTATTTCCTTTCATCTTCGAATAACACACTATTTATGGATAAAAATTACTATGGTTTATTTCACTGCGATGTTTCAACAAGATTTCACAAGTCGTTATCAAGCATTTAACACAAATAAATAAAATTTTCGTTCGTTCGTATCTAGAGTTTTACGTCCACTTCCACCTAGGATGATATCGTAGACAAGTAAAATGAAAACAATATATACACAAGAGCAGTGCGAACCCTCCAATGGGATGCAAAATCAGCAAGCATGAGCAACTGTCCCAAGCCGTTAAATGTACATAGATGGTTATAAACTGTAATCGGTATACATATATAGATAAGTACAAGAATAAAGGATCAAACAATCATTAAGAGGTATAATGAGCCACGAGCAATCGCCCCTGACAGTAAAAACATAATAAATAAATATATATATATATATATATATATATATATACCGTAATTAGTTATAGATGAAAGTAATAATAAAAGCTGAAAGTACAGATATTATAGGGGTGAACTGAAGCCGTAAGCAGTTAATCCTGCCAGTAAAATCAAGATGCAGTAAAAATAAATTTGTAAAACAATTTAAGGAAATGTACAAAATTAAAAACAATGAAAATTTTAGAATTAAATGGTAATTGCTTTATGAATAGTTCAAAGACAATGTAAACTACATTTTAATGATGCGATCATACGCTCTTGGTTCTGATTTTTTAAACTAAATAAAATCTGATATATAATCAGAGCGGCTTCCGTCAGGGCGGCTGCTTCTTTTCCTTAACGGGGTTACCCTCTGCTTCCAAATATATAAACACTGATTGGCTGTTAAATTACAGGGACTAAAATCCCGCCACATTGATAAATCTTGTCAGAGGGTAAGTAAAAATGAGACCGATGTATCATAAGATAGGGAATATAAAACGAAACGCATTGAAAAACATGTACATGTAATTTTAATCAAGTTGTTCCGTATCCATAATTTATAGAAATGTACTTACTCCCTTTTCGTGATAGCATAATGCTAGTTTAAATCTGGCTAAGCTCTCATATTTCTCCTGATTACTTCGACCAGTTTTATTTAATACCATTTCCAGTTCTTCTTGGGTTCTAATTCTGTCTAATAACTTCACAACATACTCACTTAACTGCTCTGCTAGCTCCTTGTATTCTTTCTGAAAGAGCGCGTAACAGTCAAGGTTCTATATAATTCGCGATGTTTTAATGATGCAGCCATTTCATTGGTTTAGAGTTAAAATCTTAGCTTTCGACCAATGAAAATGCCGATTTCTTAATAAGGTACTGTATGTCGTTTTTCTAGATAATTTCGTTCAGGGGTCTATTGCACATTGGGTATTGGTGTAGACTTAATTTTGTTAACCGGTTTGCTATGGAAGCGTATAGGGCTCAATAGTACGACAGATACCGCGATACAAATAAGGTAATATGTCAACATATAGTGGTCATTAAGATAATTTTAACCACCAAAAGACAATTTTTGTTTAGAATCAACGCGCCATTTTGTATGTCGTCATTGACCCCAATATGATTCCATAGTTTGTATTGTATCCACCTTTTACTATATATTTTTATGGTACACTAAATCAATCTGATGTTTTGTTCCGAATGAAGAACCATACCCCAAACGATAGCATTCCGAAAATAGCATAGTACATGAAATATAAAGAAATTCACATATCCTGTGGTTGCAATCTGAAATTAAGCTGAATATGACAAAACCAAAAGGTCATAAACCTCCTGGTTCCCCAATTTGTGAAATGGTGAACATAGATTATAAAATAAATACAAAGTAAATTCTAATACCTTGAAATGTTTCTCTATTTTGGATAATTTTCGTAATTCTTCAGCAAGTTCAAATGCTGACAGAATAGGGTCTTTACTGGACAGGGAGAGATAGGCCTCGCTTGCCAGCCCACGATAAGCGTTCAGTCTATATTTGGCCAACCTCAACTGGTCAAACTTTGTTTTATTCCGACATTCTTGACACGAACATGTAAACTTGTGCGGTTTCTGAATCAATTCCCCACGTAAAAGTAGTAGCTGAACAATTTCGTACTGATTTTTTTGTGAAGCTAGGATAAGGGGGGTAATATCCGGTGAAAACTGTGACTCTGCTAAATTCACTGTTTTGAAGAAACCATCCGTATCACCCATTTTTCGTCTTTCTCTCCACATTTCAAGATAACGTCGATGTTTAAGGATTGTCTCAGCAATCTGGACATGTCCAGCGCTGATGGCCTGAAGTACCGCTTCATATATATGATGCTGACTGGATCGATCCAACAGATGTTCAACCACCTGAAACGAGAACAGATATCAAAATTCATTTATTCTGCATTTTTAAAATCTTGACATTATGAATATTGCATCACGGCTGTCTCCAGATCTAGTTAACTTACTTCTATGCAATAGGTGACTAACGCAATAGTCTGGCTGGTGATAATTACAATTTAAATTTGAGTGAAAATGGTTTTTTTTCTGTTCATTAGTATAAGCATTGTATACAGTAAGTTGCTTAGGTCGCATATAGAATCTAAGTATGTTCGCGTGAACATATCTACAATTGTGTTTATTTGTGGTGTAATAGAAAATATAAGCCAATCGAAGCTGGCAAATACAATTTCTATAAATGCTATAGTTGTAAGATGAAATCTTTCAGTAGCATTTCCTTAATTTGATTAGCACATAACTTTGATCGCATTTACGAAAATGGGTATTTCAGACCAAACTAATGTATCTTTACAACTCAGTGTGCCGTCTAATAAAAACATGAAGTGAACACAGAATGAGTTTCCAATATTTTACCAGATGAGATCGTTGTTTACTTCTTGTTCCCCTCTCGAAACACCACAGCAGTGTGATAGTTCAAGCAAGACAACTAATTGTGATATACTATAAATAAACAGTAGTGTGTCTTCAACTACACAGGTCTATATGCATCTTATTTTTTCATTCATTAAAAATGTTAATAAACTAAACAACAGATGCAAGCGTATTCAGTAGGTCCTAGAATATTTCTCGAGATTTGCAAGTCATTCATGTCGTCATGTACGGTACTAGGAACACATTTGGGCGGTTGCAACACTTTTTCTGAAATTCTGTTATGGATACGCCATGCCTCAATTCCATAGCCAAGCGACATAATCTGTTTGTCATTATTGTTGTTAAACAATATTGATCAGCAATATACAATCTATAATCATATTTTGTCATCAAATATAATTTTAATGAGACTGCAAAACCATTCTCGATAATTATAAGTGACATGTTTGACACATGGACCTGAAAAAAGGACGGCTCGGGAAGATCAGAAAATCGTTATGGGCTTGATCTTCACCATGGTTGTCTGTCGAATCTTTGGATCTTGCAAAGTACATTTAAAGACTGTTCATAGGCACTTTCAATGTCTAAATTTAATGTTTTAAAACATAAGTTTCGGATGACAATTTAGACGATGAAAAACATCCTAGATGAGATACTATCTTAAGCTCGATGTTAGTGGCTTGACATGAATTATCCTTCTCACAAAGTTCTAACGAACTTTCTGTTGATCAATTCCTAAAATTAGGACCACTATGCTTATTAGTAAGACTATATTTTAATGTGTATGGACAAAAAGTCTATAGTGGGTTGGGTGGTCGAATGGTCTAACTCTAACGTGTTGTCATTGAGTTAAGTGGCGTGTACGTGGCATGGATTAGGGTCGCCTGCCCATCCTTGTGGGTTCCGCCTACTGTCATAGAATCCAACGCGCATGCGAATTAATGAAATAAACTTCAACCAATTGTTAGTCACGAAATGGTGTCAAGTGCAAGTTAGTTACCCCCCCCCCCCACACACACACACACACTCTCCCTGAATGTCCATAACCGCCTTGTTTAACCTTCGTTGCCAGTCGTCTTTAGCCCAGTAGGAGCAGAACAGTAGGACGTACTTCATTTCATTTCTGAAAGTCTCTATTTGTAGTCTAAAATCATTCAAAACTTAATTAGTAAATCGTAATGAGATAACTAGTTTTATCTTATAGATATATAGCCAATCTAACGTTACTGCTATATCCTAATTAACGAGCAGTTATTGGCTATTAATTGACAAACAAAAACTCAAAGAAGCAAGACCAAGAAACAATATTACTTAATTAATCGAAATATTGTTAAACCCTAAAATAACCACTAAAATATGAAATTTAAAACGCACCCTTCTCAGTTGTGGCTTTCAGATTTGTGTCAGTGCAATTTACTTTCAAGATGCTCGATTTTGTAGTAGTGTGACAATCTGTCAATCGCTAAGACAATTAATATTTCTGAGATTAACCACTTTAACCACTAGTAAGTCATTAACCTGTCATCACTTTGAAAGTAAAATAAAATAAAGCCAAGTACGAACAGTCCAAACCATTAGACAAAATTTGAAGTCCTAAAAACGTTATGGGCTAAATAGTGTAATCAGCAAATGGACTGTTCACCGTGTACAAAATACACGACAAACAGTGCTAAGAGTAAGCTTACCCTACCTGGTGCCACACCCGCCATAGCTGCATCTAAACCAGCGTAATTGGCCAATTGGACTACCCATATGCAAAATGTACGGGATGAACAGTGTTAAGTAGTATACATATTAAGGAATATAGTATACGCGTCAATTAAATATATCTAGAACAATAGCCGTAAGAGGCATGTTATATTTACTAGTCAGGGGGTTGGATCGCTGAATGGTTAGCGTGCGCGCGCTGTATCATAAAGTCTGTCATTGAGTCGACTGGCGTGGTTTCAAATCCCCGGTTGTACGTGGCAAGGAGTAGGGTCGCATGTCCAACCTCGTGGGTTTTCTCCGGGGCCTCTGGTTTCCTCCCACTGCTAAATATGTAAATAAAATTACACCATATGTTAGTCCCGAAATGACCAAGTTTGTGTCGAGTGGACGTTAAACCCCATTTCTTTCTCTCTCTCTATATGTATATATATATATTTACTAGTCAATATGACGGCCATAAAACGTCTTAAAGTTTTTTGTAAGTTTAGTGGGCAATTACCCCTGTAGTTGAAGCTTAGATCACAAATGCCCCGATCTACTTAAAAAAATCAGAATAAAAGGAACAAGCTCTCGCGTATCGAACTAGCTGAGAAACATACACCCCATAAGCTGGTGATATTGGAATGTTACTACCAATGAATGGAAAGTTAACAATCGGAAAGTCATCACGTTTATTGGGTAACGACACAAATCCCATCTATTGTTTTTGTTCTTGTATGTACATATCATTTAAAGTAAAGATTGACAACAAGAAAATATAAAATAATAATATATCTGAGGGGTAACGAGGACTGGGTAGGATTAAAGGTAGGGTATTAGGATTACTCCCCCTTCACTTCCAAGAAGTATTGGTGCTATATTTTACTCTCATAATCACTGTTCGAGGAAATCCAAAGATCGATCGACAGAGCTTCCCGACCTGAAAACCAAGAAGCATTATTTTAACCAAACCTTACCTTTGGATCCTTTTCCGTCAGAAAAGGGTAAACAAAATCCATTTCGTCTATAGATTCCACTCGGCCGTTATAACCGGTGCCAAATGAGTTTATCTAATAATAACACCTTAATACTCGGTATAGTATATCTGGTTAGACATCTAATTGTATGAAATATGACTGTAATGAATTCATGACAACGGACGATAATGTGCCATTCGCCAATCAGAAAACGATTAACCGCCACTTACAACGAATAGGGAGTTCATAAACAATGAGAAAGATTTCCCAAAACAGTAATTTCACATTGTACAACCCAAAAACGAATATGCGCAATTCCGTGTGTACTATATCCCTAAATGTCAATTAATTAAAAAAAATATATTAGTACGTGTTCATTTATTATTTATTAGAATGCCTGCAGCAAAGTTACTCTCTGGAATTGCTGGGACAATATACATAATATTTTATCGATGTTTCATCGAGCATGCAATATAATAATATAACATATTAACACAATATCCATTATTATTATTATTTTGTGTTTCGTTAGAGATATTCCAAAATTGTGAGCTCTTTGATCATCAATGCACTTGTAGGAATAGTCATTAATTCTGTAACAAAAAAGTATATTAATAAATGTTCTAAAATGCATTACTAACGATTAAACGGGCAATTGGGGAATAATTTCAGTACCGGAAATGCCCTCCCGACTTAATGGGATGAAATGTACTCGGTAAAAACATATCCACAATGTATATCAATCCCTAAATCTGAAAAATTATACGAACACGTACTAGATATAGGGGGTTGGGTGGCCGAATGGGTTAGCGCGTGCGCGTTGTACCATAAGATCTGTAATTGAGTCAACTGCCATGGTTTCGATTCCCCGGTTGTACGTGCCAAAGAGTAGTATCGCCCTGTCCAACCTCGTTGGTGTTCTCCGGGTCATCCGGTTTCCTCCCACTGCTATAAACCCCTAAGCGCAAACGAATTATTGAAAATAAAATTGAACCATATGTTAGTTCCGAAATGATTTGGTTTGTGTCTAGTGGACATTACCCCCCCCCCCACACACACACACACACACCCTCTATCTCTCTCTCTCGCTCTCTTTAGACATAGACTTTCGCGTAACAACCGAGGGGTGAGAGGTCTATATCAGGCATACAAACGAAGGGAGATCACCACCAAAAATACCTTTGTCAGATGACTATACATGTGGGTGCAGTTTACTACGAACACGTCACATTGACCTTAAACTTGTTTGATTATTCTTCAACATGCAGTCGTCTAAGTCTGATGAGAATAAAACCAGTTTCCTACCCAACACATTATAACTGTCGGACACAAGAACAACAATTATTAACGCTCGAAATTCCACGATAAACTTTTTGTTCAATGTAACAAATAGATCCATTGTGTGTGTGTGGGTGTGTGTGTGTGTGTGTAGTAGCCGGGGTCTTATGACTGGCAAAAATGTATCTTACGAAGCTCGTCAATATGAAGTATGAGGGCAAGCCCGACAAAAATTTAGTATCTTGGGGCTTATAAGCAAAAATGTAGATTCAATCTCGCCAATACCAAAGATACGCGGGATCCTGTCGAACCAATCGTGTCCCGACCCTCAGCTTAGATGAGTGCAAAATAAAGCCCCGTCCTTTCCACCAGGCAGAAAACCTGGGTTTATTGAGAAGAAGCAGGGATTCGGATACTGGTTTCTCATACCTAAACACGAAAGCAGTGGGTGTTTTCAATATATTACAAGTAGTTTTGAAGCATGTCGTTTGCTAGTTTTATGATAAAGGGACTTTCAAAAAATGAAAATTC